CAACTCTGCAACCAACTTTTCGAACCGCCAGGCTTCTCGACGTATCGAGACAGACTCGACGTCTCGACTGATCTTCTGCAGATCGACATCGGCCAAAACGTCCGGAGCTCCATTTGTCTCGTAGAGACCAAGCGTTGGGCTGGACAACGAGTCCGGGACCAACTGATCGGGAGGCTGAAATGGCGGCTGAGTGGGCGGACGGTCGCATGGAAGTCTGGCCAGGTCGAGTTGCATCGTCAAGTCGGTGGACTGTTTGTCGGTATGGAAGTGACATTTGCGAAGAGTGACTCGTTGCTGTGACCGAGCGTGCAAACATCCCTCGAGACTGCTGAGATGGCCAATTAGCTGAAAACGAGAGGAGAGAGAGAGAGAGGGAATAGTGCTTATTAATTTCACTTTTATTTCGGATAAATCTGTGTGTGTGTGTATGGGTGTTGATGCGGAGGTAGGGGAACGAGTGGGAAAAATGTGTAGATTGACTCTGCCAGTAGGCAAAGGAGTTGTGACGATAACATTTTGCGGAAAGTCCTGTCATGCTGATTCATCCATGATTATCGGCTGTTCTGGAACATTCTAGCTGAAGGTATTCCTGGGCCAAGTTGTAGTTTCCGGTGAAAAGTATGCAAGGACCTTCATCTGTAGCATGACGCAACTCAGCAGAAATAAATTTAAAGGACACCAAATGACTCATTAAATAAAAAGGATATAAGACGGATAATATGATATAAAAAATAAAGGTATAGAGAAACAAAACATTATTTTAAACGTAATATCTGAAATCCAATGTTAGATGCAACATTGTGGGGCGTTGTAGCATAAATCGTGTGAGCAGCTATTCAAACTTGGATTCACATCAAACTATTGAAGAATCCCTTGAAACTCAGTTCTTTCTGTATGTATCAGACTGCAGTCCATTGTTGTAGCGACCGGGTTGAGAGATGCCTACGTCAAACTGACTCAAAAAGGTAGCGGATTCCTGTTGCTCTGTAAACGTCCGAGGCAACCATTACGTTCAGGTTTCACGAGGCATTCATCTCCAATTCCGGCGTGAATGTACTCCTGTTTCAGGAGTCATGTTGCTTGGTAGACAACAAGGAGCTGGAGCTAATTAGCAACAGGAACTTCAAGAACACCAGCTGACTCATCTTAACTTGCTTGTAGCAAAAACAGACACCGAAAGAGACTATATAAAAAAGAATTTGAAGAATCTTTGATGAAAACTTGACTCGTCAGCTTGAATTTGGCCGTGACGATGATGTTCAATGGGAATTTCAGTTCTACTCTTATAATTGTGGAAAAATTCTACTAACAGCCCTGCACCACCTTAAACGAAATTGGGTGAATACATATCATATTACTGATGATATTCATCACATGACGGACAAAAGCTTAGCACCTTTTCACCGGAATCGAGTGAGATTGCCTCGGAAACAGCGTCAGCATGAATGTTTCA